CATATTATCACCAGTGACTGTTAGGGCCCCTCCCATACCATATTATCACCATACTGAGGGACCTCACCATACCATATTATCACCAATTACTGAGGGACCTCACCATACCATATTTCACCATACTGGGGGACCCGTCCACCACTATTACACCATACTGATGACCTTCACCATATATTTCACCATACTGATGGACCTACCATACCATATTACCACCATTACTGAGGGACCTCACCATATATCACCCAACTGGGGACCTCACCATCCATAACCATATTATCACCATACTGAGGGACCTCACCATACCATATTAATCACCACACTGAGGGACTCCCCCATACCATATTTATCCCATCTGAGGGACCTTACCATACCATATTATCACCATACTGAGGGCCTCACCATATTTCACCATACTGAGGGACCTCACCATATTATCAAATCACCATACTGAGGGACCTCACCACTACCATATTATCACCATACTGAGGACCTCAACATACCATATTATCACCCACACTGAGGACCTTCAAACCAACCATATTAATCACCATACTGAGGGACCTCCCATACCATATTAATCACCATACTGAGGGCCTCACATATTAAATCACCCATACTGAGGGACCTCACGCATACCATATTATCACCATACTGAGGGACCCTCACCATACCATATTAATCACCATACGAGGGACCGTCACATCCCCATCCATAATTATCACCATACTGGAGGGACCTCACCATACGAATATTATCACCCTACTGAGGGACCTCACCAGTAACTCATATTTCACAACCATAACTGAGGGACCCTCAACCATACCATATATCACCAAACTTGAGGGACCTCACCATAAATCACCATACTAGGACCTCACCATACCCAATATTATCACCATAGCCATACTGAGGGACCTCAACCATACCATAATTATAATTATCACCATACTGAGGGACCCTCACCATACCCTATTATCACCATAAATACTGATGGACCTCCACCATATTTATCACCATCTGAGGACCGCCTCACCATACATATTAATCACCATCTACTGAGGGACCTCACCATACCATCTTATCGACTATAAGCTGAGGTTACCTCACCCATACCATAGTTATCACCCTACGGAGGGACCTCCACCATCCCATATTATCAACCATAGCTGAGGGACCTCACCATACCGTATTTATCACCATACGATGGACCTTCACCATACCATATTATCCACCCATACTGAGTGATCCTCACCAACCATTTATCACATCTGAGGGCCTCACCATACCTATTATCATCACCATAAACTGAGGACCTCACCATACCATATCACATACTAGGGACCTCACCGTACAATATTATCACAATACTGAGGGACCTCACGATATGTTGTGTACTGCGATTCTCACGATTCTGTATGTATTGCGATTCGATACTGGAATTTGATTGGAATTTGATGTTCCAACATATTGCTCACTACTCTTCGTGTTTTCCCAATGGGAGGAACCACACGCTTGTTTACGATTGTTCTTTCAGTACTTAACCATGTCTCTGGACTGCACCTTTTCAAATGCGTTGTGTTAAAGACTCTGCTTCCTCTGGACTATGGTTCTAGTTCTGTCTGAATCCAAATGTTGTCAAATCAGATCTTTCTATTATTTTAGCTGCTTTTACTGTCAGGAAATGTGCAATCTAACCCAGGTCCCTGCGTTTTTACCCCATCTGAATTAAAAACTCAGAATGGTCTGAAGTTTCTGCACATAAATGGAAGAAGTTTTTTTCCAAAACTTGATTTTGTGAATATTTGGATAAAAACTGCAGATCCACATGTATTTATGCTTTCTGAAACCTGGCTCAAAAAAATCTAACACTGACAAAGACATTGGCATTGATGGTTACAATGTGTTTTCTGGTCAGATCCTAAATCTAAGGGTGGTGGTGTTGCTATATACATACAAGACAAGTTCTCTGTGACCATTCTGACATCTGTTACCAAACCCAAGCACATTGAATATCTATCTGTCTTTCAATATAGATCTCTGGTTGTCTCCTGTTGTTCTGGATCCCCATCTGCTAATGGCTTACTGGGTTCTATTTTAGAATTATACTGAACAAAAATATTAAATGCAACATACAACAATTTCAAAGATTTTACTGAGTTACAGTTCATATGTGACTCGTTTCAGGAAACTAGGCATATGTCGCGGGTCACTACTTCACAGGAGCGCCATTTGAACGTAAACTTTTTTTATTTATAAAAATGCATTTTTTGGCAGAAATGCCTTCTGGAACATGTGAACTTTCGTGTGACTTAATAACAAACTTGTATGCCATCTGTAAATACAAATAAAATTACGAGCTTAGTTGGTTAAGCCACAGAAAAAGACGGCAACCTTCCCACTAGCCATGATTGGCTGAGATAATGAGTGGGCTGGACATGCCGAAAGAGGAGTTTGGATTGGTCTGCCATATAGCACGCTTCTGTCTATTTGAGCTGGTCAGTATATGTAGGTAATCCTGTCTAGTGGCACAGCTAGCACTGCGATGCAGTGCCTTAGACCACTGCGCCACTCGGGAGTTTCATTTCAAGTTAAAGTGTACTGTTAGCTAGCGAGCTAACGTTACGTTACGTGTATGATCTTATTATTCGTATCTCAGAGCCATTTGCTAGCTAACATTGAACCTGGTTGGTTAGCTACCTGCAGATTCATGCAAGGTAGTAAAGTCATGAGTTGGGATTATGGTTAATTGTTTAACTAACTAGCTAACGTTAGCTGGCTGGCTCACTAGCTAACTTTACGTGTATGATCTTATTATTCGTATCTCAGAGCCGTTTGCTTGGCTAGTTATAGCCTAATGTTAGCTAGCTAACATTGAACCTGGTTGGTTAGCTACCTGCAGATTCATGCAGGGTAGTAAAGTCATGAGTTGGGATTATGGTTAATTGTTTACCTAGCTAGCTAGCTACATGTCTTAACAAAAGACTCCACTATGAAAGTAAATTCAGTCTGAGTATGGCAGAATAACTGATGAATTTATGAACGCACAACACCCGTTGAATATGGCCGGTGTCAGTAAACGTCGGCAAAAAAACGTAATTAAATAGTTGCCAGCAGCACAGTTACAGTCGCCAACGCTCTGGATAACATGAAAACAGCCAGCTCTAATGAGAGAACACCCCACTAACCATTTTACTCGCCCTAGCAGAGCTGGTTAGGCTGTTTTCATGTTATCCAGAGGTAAACAATGAACCATAATCCCAATTTTGGTCTGGAAGTAGCTAGCAAGCTAGCCAATGTTAGCCAGTTAGCTCGGGTGCTTGACTGCCGTTGTGAGGTCAGAACGCTCGGATCAACCCTACTCAAGTGTGCGCTCTGAACACTCCGAGAGCGAAATGAGATGGGTGGGGCTAAAGCTTAAGAGGGTGTGAACGATGCTGAATGGGTGTAGATAAAGAAGAGCTCTTCAGTACGTGTACCAAAACATTCAAAGGCCATTTTCTCAAAAGTGAGATTACAAGTTTATCAACTGCAGGGAGGGAGGTGCTGTTGCCAGGTAACCCTGGCAGAGGAGAAGGCCCAGAGGGCTGCAGGGAGGGAGGTGCTGTTGCCAGGTAACCCTGGCAGAGGAGAAGGCCCAGAGGGCTGCAGGGAGGGAGGTGCTGTTGCCAGGTAACCCTGGCAGAGGAGAAGGCCCAGAGGGCTGCAGGGAGGGAGGTGCTCACACATATGGAGTCTAGACTCTGGAGCCACTAAAACATTAGCTAGTTAATGGATTACTACTGCTTTTGCTGTTGCACTAGTCTAGTGGCATTGAGGTGATATCTTAAAAAAACTATATTTTGGTTTTTGTTTCATTAGTCCATTGTTGACATAGCCCCTAAATGTTTTGCTTGTCAGCAATCAAGTTTTCAAGATATATAACATTCAAAATTCAGAAATCATTAAAATAGTTTTTGGGTGGAGTTTTCCTTTAAGAGTTTTGCTTGTTTTGGGTAGTGCTTCAGCAGTAGTAGTAGTAGACTCCTCTGAGTCGTTCTGTTGTTTCACTCCTCTATGTTCTCTCTTTCTTCATTTGTTTCTTTCTTTCTCTCACCCCCCCTCTCGCTCACCCTCCCTCCCACTTATATCTCTCTCTTAACCCCCCTCTCTCTCACCCTCCCACTTAAATCTCTCTCTTAACCCTCTCTCTCTCTCTCTCTCTCTCTCTCTCCTCCCCCCCTCCTCTCTCTCTCTCTCACCCCCTCCTCTCTATCTCTCTCACACCCTACCTCTATCTCTCTCCTTTCCTGTTATCTCTCTCTCACCCCCCCTCTCCCCCTCCCCCTCTCTCTCTCCCTCCCTCCCTCCCTCTATGTCTCCCCCCCCATCTCTCTGTCTCTCTCCCTTAGGCTGATAACAGCATCCTGGGACCAGACCCTAAATGCATGGGACCTGGAGACTGGAAAGATCATTGTGAGTCAATCAGTCAAATAATGAATCTCATCCTTACACACCATGTTGTTGTGACCTCTCTGTTACCTCTCTCTCTTGTCACCATGTTGTTGTGACCTCTCTGTTATCTCTCTCTCTTGTCACCATGTTGTTGTGACCTCTCTGTTATCTCTCTCTCTCTTTTTAACACTAATGAACATCTGAGACCATGGGGGATTTTCACACAAAAGGTCAAGGATGTTTCACAAATCATAACACATTTACTATACTTTCGAAGATGCCAAAAGACACAAGGAAGGCTAGCCTGTGTGTGTGTGTGTGTGTGTGTGCGTGTGTGTGTGTGTGTGTGTGTGTGTGTGTGTGTGTGTGTGTGTGTGTGTGTGTGTGTGTGTGTGTGTGTGTGCGTGCGTGCGTGCGTGCGTGCGTGCGTGCGTGCGTGCGTGCGTGCGTGCGTGCGCGTGCGTGTGTGTGTGTGTGTTACGTAGTGGACTGCAGTTCAGGGTGGTCTCCTGACCTCATGTAGCGTCTCAGGGGATGGGAAGTACGTCGTCTCCTCCTCTGACCTGGAGAATGCAATCTGCCTGACCTCAGCTGATACAGGGGAGAGGCTCTTCCACATCAAAGGTAAATCCTAAAGTCATTCAACAGTAGTTATTGATCTCTATATTGATTTTTGATTGAGCTATGCTAATGGTAAGTTAGGCTCATGCTATCATATGTTAAAGGTAGAGTCAGCGATGCCAAAAGTAAACAGCCCTATCAAGCAGATTTCTGCAACAACTAAGAGTCTGAATCACGAGGCTGGACTTCTCTGCTGTTGTGGTCCTGCAGCTATCACGTTGTAGCAGCTATCACGTTGTAGCAGCTATCACGTTGCATCAGCTATCACGTTGTAGCAGCTATCACGTTGCAGCAGCTATCACGTTGCAGCAGCTATCACGTTGTAGCAGCTATCACGTTGTAGCAGATATCACGTTGTAGCAGATATCACGTTGCATCAGCTATCACGTTGTAGCAGCTATCACGTTGCAGCAGCTATCAAGTTGTAGCAGCTATCACGTTGTAGCAGATATCACGTTGTAGCAGATATCACGTTGTAGCAGATATCACGTTGTAGCAGCTATCACGTTGTAGCAGCTATCACGTTGTAGCAGCTATCACGTTGTAGCAGATATCACGTTGTAGCAGTGTGAAGAACACCCCTGAACATGCACTGATATGTTTTGTTTGTGCAACGTCTTGTATCGCTCTCACCTACAATATCCTGCTGCTCCTGGCAACGTCTTGTATCGCATCGCTCTCACCTACAATATCCTGCTGCTCCTGGCAACGTCTTGTATCGCTCTCACCTACAATATCCTGCTGCTCCTGGCAACGTCTTGTATCGCTCTCACCTACAATATCCTGCTGCTCCTGGCAACGTCTTGTATCGCTCTCACCTACAATATCCTGCTGCTCCTGGCAACGTCTTGTATCGCATCGCTCTCACCTACAATATCCTGCTGCTCCTGGCAACGTCTTGTATCGCTCTCACCTACAATATCCTGCTGCTCCTGGCAACGTCTTGTATCGCATCGCTCTCACCTACAATATCCTGCTGCTCCTGGCAACGTCTTGTATCGCTCTCACCTACAATATCCTGCTGCTCCTGGCAACGTCTTGTATCGCTCTCACCTACAATATCCTGCTGCTCCTGGCAACGTCTTGTATTGCTCTCACCTACAATATCCTGCTGCTCCTGGCAACGTCATATCACTTTCCTCAGATCACCACAAGTCTACGATCACGCGGTGCCGGTTTGACCCTCAGAGTCAGCACGTAGCCAGTGTCTCTGAAGACAGAACCATCAAACTCTGGGACCTGGTCTCCACCCAAACCACCCTCTCCATCAACAGGTGAAGATAACACTCATTACATTACACATTACACCCAGTCCCTGGGATGGTAGATAATACTCATTACATTACACACAGTCCCTGGGATGGTAGATAATACTCATTACATTACACACAGTCCCTGGGATGATAGATAACACTCATTACATTACACACAGTCCCTGTGATGATAGATAATACTCATTACATTACACACAGTCCCTGGGATGGTAGATAATACTCATTACATTATACACAGTCCCTGGGATGGTAGATAATACTCATTACATTACACACAGTCCCTGGGATGGTAGATAATACTCATTACATTACACACAGTCCCTGGGATGGTAGATAATACTCATTACATTACACACAGTCCCTGGGATGGTAGATAATACTCATTACATTTACACACAGTCCCTGGGATGGTAGATAATACTCATTACATTATACACAGTCCCTGGGATGGTAGATAATACTCATTACATTACACAGTCCCTGGGATGGTAGATAATACTCATTACATTACACCCAGTCCCTGGGATGTAGATAATACTCATTACATTGACACACAGTCCCTGGGATGGTAGATATACTCATTACATACAACACAGTCCCTGGGATGGTAGATAATACTCATTACATTACACACAGTCCCTGGGATGGTAGATAATACTCATTACATTACACACAGTCCCTGGGATGGTAGATAATACTCATTACATTACACACAGTCCCTGGGATGGTAGATAATACTCATTACATTACACACAGTCCCTGGGATGGTGATAATACTCATTACATTACACACAGTCCCTGGGATGGTAGATAATACTCATTACATTACACACAGTCCCTGGGGATGGTAGATAATACTCATTACATTACACACAGTCCCTGGGATGGTAGATAATACTCATTACATTACACACAGTCCCTGGGATGGTAGATAATACTCATTACATTACACACAGTCCCAGGGATGATAGATAATACTCATTACATTACACACAGTCCCTGGGATGGTAGATAATACTCATTACATTACACACAGTCCCTGGGATGGTAGATAATACTCATTACATTACACACAGTCCCTGGGATGGTAGATAATACTCATTACATTACACACAGTCCCTGGGATGGTAGATAATACTCATTACATTACACCCAGTCCCTGGGATGGTAGATAATACTCATTACATTACACACAGTCCCTGGGATGGTAGATAATACTCATTACATTACACACAGTCCCTGGGATGGTAGATAATACTCATTACATTACACACAGTCCCTGGGATGGTAGATAATACTCATTACATTACACACAGTCCCTGGGATGATAGATAATACTCATTACATTACACACAGTCCCTGGGATGATAGATAATACTCATTACATTACACACAGTCCCTGGGATGGTAGATAATACTCATTACATTACACACAGTCCCTGGGATGGTAGATAATACTCATTACATTACACACAGTCCCTGGGATGATAGATAATACTCATTACATTACACATTACACACAGTCCCTGGGATGGTAGATAATACTCATTACATTACACACAGTCCCTGGGATGATAGATAATACTCATTACATTACACACAGTCCCTGGGATGATAGATAATACTCATTACATTACACACAGTCCCTGGGATGGTAGATAATACTCATTACATTACACACAGTCCCTGGGATGATAGATAATACTCATTACATTACACACAGTCCCTGGGATGGTAGATAATACTCATTACATTACACACAGTCCCTGGGATGGTAGATAATACTCATTATATTACACATTACACACAGTCCCTGTGATGATAGCTAATAATCATTACATTACACACAGTCCCTGGGATGATAGATAATACTCATTACATTACACACAGTCCCTGGGATGGTAGATAATACTCATTACATTACACACAGTCCCTGGGATGATAGCTAATACTCATTACATTACACACAGTCCCTGGGATGATAGATAATACTCATTACATTACACACAGTCCCTGGGATGATAGATAATACTCATTACATTACACACAGTCCCTGGGATGATAGATAATACTCATTACATTACACACAGTCCCTGGATGATAGATAATACTCATTACATTACACACAGTCCCTGGGATGGTAGATAATACTCATTACATTACACACAGTCCCTGGGATGATAGATAATACTCATTACATTACACACAGTCCCTGGGATGATAGATAATACTCATTACATTACACACAGTCCCTGGGATGGTAGATAATACTCATTACATTACACACAGTCCCTGGGATGATAGATAATACTCATTACATTACACACAGTCCCTGGGATGGTAGATAATACTCATTACATTACACACAGTCCCTGGGATGGTAGATAATACTCATTATATTACACATTACACACAGTCCCTGGGATGGTAGATAATACTCATTACATTACACACAGTCCCTGGGATGGTAGATAATACTCATTACATTACACACAGTCCCTGTGATGATAGCTAATAATCATTACATTACACACAGTCCCTGGGATGATAGATAATACTCATTACATTACACACAGTCCCTGGGATGGTAGATAATACTCATTACATTACACACAGTCCCTGGGATGATAGATAATACTCATTACATTACCACACAGTCCCTGGAATGGTAGATAATACTCATTACATTACACACAGTCCCTGGGATGATAGATAATACTCATTACATTACACACAGTCCCTGGGATGGTAGATAATACTCATTATATTACACACAGTCCCTGGGATGGTAGATAATACTCATTATATTACACATTACACACAGTCCCTGTGATGATAGCTAATAATCATTACATTACACACAGTCCCTGGGATGGTAGATAATACTCATTACATTACACACAGTCCCTGGGATGATAGATAATACTCATTACATTACACACAGTCCCTGGGGTGGTAGATAATACTCATTACATTACACACAGTCCCTGGGATGGTAGATAATACTCATTACATTAACACAAGTCCCTGGGATGGTAGATAATACTCATTACATTACACACAGTCCTGGGATGGTAGATAATACTCATTACATTACACACAGTCCCTGGGATGGTAGATAATACTCATTACATTACACACAGTCCCTGGGATGGTAGATAATACTCATACATTACACACAGTCCCTGGGGTGATAGATAAAACTCATTACATTACACACAGTCCCTGGGATGGTAGATAATACTCATTACATTACACACACAGTCCCTGTGATGGTAGATAATACTCATTACATTACACACAGTCCCTGGGATGGTAGATAATACTCATTACATTACACACAGTCCTGGGATGGTAGATAATACTCATTACATTACACACGTCCCTGGGATGGTAGATAATACTCATTACATTACACACAGTCCCTGGGATGGTAGATAATACTCATTACATTACACACAGTCCCTGGGATGGTAGATAATACTCATTACATTACACACAGTCCTGGGATGATAGATAATACTCATTACATTACACCCAGTCCCTGGGATGGTAGATAATACTCATTACATTACACACAGTCCCTGGGATGATAGATAATACTCATTACATTACACACAGTCCCTGGGATGATAGATAATACTCATTACATTACACATTACACACAGTCCCTGGGATGGTAGATAATACTCATTACATTACACATTACACACAGTCCCTGGGATGATAGATAATACTCATTACATTACACACAGTCCTGGGATGGTAGATAATACTCATTACATTACACACAGTCCCTGGGATGATAGATAATACTCATTACATTACACAGTCCCTGGGATGGTAGATAATATCATTACATTACACACAGTCCCTGGGATGATAGATAATACTCATTACATTACACACAGTCCCTGGGATGGTAGATAATACTCATTACATTACACACAGTCCCTGGGATGATAGATAATACTCATTACATTACACACAGTCCCTGGGATGGTAGATAATACTCATTACATTACACACAGTCCCTGGGATGATAGATAATACTCATTACATTACACACAGTCCCTGGGATGGTAGATAATACTCATTACATTACACACAGTCCCTGGGATGGTAGATAATACTCATTACATTACACACAGTCCCTGGGATGGTAGATAATACTCATTACATTACACACAGTCCCTGGGATGGTAGATAATACTCATTACATTACACACAGTCCCTGGGATGGTAGATAATACTCATTACATTACACACAGTCCCTGTGATGGTAGATAATACTCATTACATTACACACAGTCCCTGGGATGATAGATAATACTCATTACATTACACACAGTCCCTGGGATGGTAGATAATACTCATTACATTACACACAGTCCCTGGGATGGTAGATAATACTCATTACATTACACACAGTCCCTGGGATGATAGATAATACTCATTACATTACACACAGTCCCTGGGATGATAGATAATACTCATTACATTACACACAGTCCCTGGGATGATAGATAATACTCATTACATTACACACAGTCCCTGGGATGGTAGATAATACTCATTACATTACACACAGTCCCTGGGATGATAGATAATACTCATTACATTACACACAGTCCCTGGGATGATAGATAATACTCATTACATTACACACAGTCCCTGGGATGATAGATAATACTCATTACATTACACACAGTCCCTGGGCCCTAGATAGACTGTATGTCAGTGGCCCTAGATAGACTGTATGTCAGTGGCCCTAGATAGACTGTATGTCAGTGGCCCTAGATAGACTGTATGTCAGTGGCCCTAGATAGACTGTACGTCAGTGGCCCTAGATAGACTGTATGTCAGTGGCCCTAGATAGACTGTATGTCAGTGGCCCTAGATAGACTGTATGCCAGTGGCCCTAGATAGACTGTATGCCAGTGGCCCTAGATAGACTGTATGTCAGTGGCCCTAGATAGACTGTATCAGTGTCCCTAGATAGACTGTATGTCAGTGGCCCTAGATAGACTGTATGTCAGTGGCCCTAGATAGACTGTATGTCAGTGGCCCTAGATAGACTGTACGTCAGTGGCCCTAGATAGACTGTATGTCAGAACTAAGACCCTGTGTATTGCCCAATCATCTGACATGCCTGGGCTTTAACCCATCAAACCATCCTCTTAACATACAGGAGGAAATATTGCTATGTGTCATGATTAATCACAGGACTCTCATTATATCACACCACGCACTGCAGTACCGTGAACTAAAACATAACCTGCCATTATGTAAGAAAGATTGATGCAGTAATGTAGAGTGGTGGATATTTTAATGAACACACCAAGCAGTATCTGGTTCCCCATCGTCCCAGAGAGAGATCTGCATTCCATGGGCTACGTCTCAAATAGCACCCTACTACGGGCCCTGGTCAAAAGCAGTGCACTATATAGGACATAGTGTGTCGTATGGGACATACTACATTCCATTGATTCTCATTCTCATTGATTCCTTTCATCACTTTCATGGGAGGGAGGGAGGGAGGGAGGGAGGGAGAGAGGGGGAGAGAGAGAGAGAGAGAGAGAGAGAGAGAGGAGAGAGAGGAGAGAGAGAGAGAGGAGAGAGAGAGAGAGAGAGAGAGAAGAGAGAGAGAGAGAGAGAGAGGGAGAGAGGGAGGGGGGAGGGAGGGAGGGAGGGAGGGAGGGAGAGAGATCTGCATCAACAGCAATCTCTTGAATAATCCTATGCAGTGTCATCAACAGCAGACTCCATTTCCTCAGTGAGAACAATGGAGCAAATTGTCAAATTGGATTTCTACCAAAATACAGTATGAAAGACCACGTATACACCCTGCACGACGCTGGGTAGTGACGCCTTAAGCACTGAGATCCAGTGCCTTAGACCGCTTCGCCACTCGGGAGTCTCTGCTCTCAGCAGTAAGACCTACCTCTGTCCCTTGTCTGTCCCTTGTTGGCCTGTCAGGCTGGTTGATATGTTATTGATCTGCTATGACAGCAGTAAGACCTAACTCTGTCCCTTGTTGGCCTGTCAGGCTGGTTGATATGTTATTGATCTGCTATGACAGCAGTAAGACCTAACTCTGTCCCTTGTTGGCCTGTCAGGCTGGTTGATATGTTATTGATCTGCTATGACAGCAGTAAGACCTACCTCTGTCCCTTGTCTGTCCCTTGTTGACCTGTCAGGCTGGTTGATATGTTATTGATCTGCTATGACAGCAGTAAGACCTAACTCTGTCCCTTGTTGGCCTGTCAGGCTGGTTGATATGTTATTGATCTGCTATGACGGCAGTAAGACCTAACTCTGTCCCTTGTTGGCCTGTCAGGCTGGTTGATATGTTATTGATCTGCTATGACAGCAGTAAGACCTACCTCTGTCCCTTGTTGGCCTGTCAGGCTGGTTGATATGTTATTGATCTGCTATGACAGCAGTAAGACCTAACTCTGTCCCTTGTTGGCCTGTCAGGCTGGTTGATATGTTATTGATCTGCTATGACAGCAGTAAGACCTACTCTCCTTGTGCCGTGTGGTGTTTTCATGATCTGGTTGAGATACCTTCACCTTGGGTTGCTTTGCTAGTTATCTTATTACATGAGTTTTTAGACATCATGCTTTTTGTCATTGTTAGCCTAACATTTAGCCTATCACCATTTGAGCTTTTCATTAGCTTAAAATGAACCTCGTCCACAGGCTATTGCACACAGTTCAAACCATTAGTATTAGTCAAGGTCACGTTGAGGCTGTTATACCAGTCAAGGTCACGTTGAGGCTGTTATACCAGTCAAGGTCACGTTGAGGCTGTTATACCAGTCAAGGTCACGTTGAGGCTGTTATACCAGTCAAGGTCACGTTGAGGCTGTTATACCAGTCAAGGTCACGTTGAGGCTGTTATACCAGTCAAGGTCACGTTGAGGCTGTTATACCAGTCAAGGTCACGTTGAGGCTGTTATACCAAGCCTTCAGAGCTTGTGAAGGAACCCAATATTACAATATGCATTATGACAATACACATTATTGTTCTATTCTGTCCCCTACACAGCACCCACACCAACGTCATCTCTGACTGCTGTTTCACTGCTAACGGCCGCTACTTGTGCACTGCATCATGGGACAAGACACTGCAGCTGTGGGACGTCCAGACGGGAACGTTCCGTTCCCACGGTGGCCTGACCCTTAGCAAGGGACACGACGGATCCGTCAGCTCCTGCACCTTCTCCGAGGACGGTAAGGTAGACGTATCAGTCTTCATGTTCTTCAGACGTTTATTTGTCCCAAAAAAAGAGGAATAAGGAACTTGTCGGCACTTCTTAATCTTAATGCCACTTAGCAGACGCTTTTTATCCAAAGCGACTTACAGTCATGTGTGCATAAATTTTTGTGTATGGGGGTGGTCCCGGGGATCGAACCCACTACCCTGGCGTTACAAGCGCCGTGCTCTACCAGCTGAGCTACAGATGAGCACTGTCACTCATCAGACTTTACATAGACGTAGCACCGTCAACATGAAGATTCCCTTGACCACTACTGCTCTGCTGACAGACTGAATATATTTCTCTGTTATTGTCCAGCGTCAGTCCTTGTATCGGGTGCATATGATAGAACAGTGGCTGTGTGGGACATGGAGGCTCTCTGCAAGACCCTGGAGTTGAAGGTAGCTTCATGCTGTATTCTACTTTAGACACATTTTAAGGCAAACGGGGGTGTGTATGTGTCCTCGTGTGTGTGTGTGTTTCAAACTGGTGTGTCCTCGTGTGTGTTTGCTCACCCTAGGGACATGTGGATTGGGTGACAGATGTGGCAATCAGCGCTGACAAGAAATGGGTGGCCTCCGCTTCCAAGGTACACACACACACACACCTCAATGTCATGTCCCTGTAGGCCACAGTACATATACACCTCAATGTCATGTCCCTGTAGGCTACAGTACATATACACCTCAATGTCATGTCCCTGTAGGCCACAGTACATATACACCTCAATGTCATGTCCCTGTAGGCTACAGTACATATACACCTCAATGTCATGTCCCTGTAGGCCACAGTACATATACACCTCAATGTCATGTCCCTGTAGGCTACAGTACATATACACCTCAATGTCATGTCCCTGTAGGCCACAGTACATATACACCTCAATGTCATGTCCCTGTAGGCTACAGTACATATACACCTCAATGTCATGTCCCTGTAGGCCACAGTACATATACACCTCAATGTCGTGTCCCTGTAGGCTACAGTAAATATTTGACAGAGGTACACCTCAGATTGCAGAAGGTTTCTGAAAGTGTGGATTCCTGAGGAAACAAACGGTCACTGTGCTGTTAAATGATTCCTGAGGAAACTAACGAGTCACTGTGCTGTTAAATGATTCCTGAGGAAACAAACGGGTCACTGTGCTGTTAAATGATTCCTGAGGAAACAAACGAGTCACCGTGCTGTTAAATGATTCCTGAGGAAACAAACAAGTCACTGTGCTGTTAAATGATCCTGAGGAAAACAAACGAGCATGTGCTGTTAAATGATTCCTGAGGAAACAAACGAGCACTGTGCGGTTAAATGATTCCTGAGGAAACAAACGAGTCACTGTGCTGTTAAATGATTCTGAGGGGAAACTAACGAGTCACTGTGCTGTTTAAATGATTCCTGAGGAAACAAACGGGTCACTGTGCTGTTAAATGATTCCTGAGGAAACTAACGAGTCACTGTGCTGTTAAATGATTCCTGAGGAAACTAACGAGTCACTGTGCTGTTAAATGATTCCTGAGGAAACAAACGGGTCACTGTGCTGTTAAATGATTCCTGAGGAAACAAACAAGTCACTGTGCTGTTAAATGATTCCTGAGGAAACAAACGAGTCACTGTGCTGTTAAATGATTCCTGAGGAAACAAAACGAGTCACTGTGCTGTTAAATGATTCCTGAGGAAACAAACGAGTCACTGTGCTGTTAAATGATTCCTGAGGAAACAAAACGAGTCACTGTGCTGTCAAATGATTCCTGAGGAAACAAAACGAGTCACTGTGCTGTTAAATGATTCCTGAGGAAACAAAACGAGTCACTGTGCTGTTAAATGTCAATATGTCCCTTTTTTACCATCCCCATTTTGCATCACCATAAATATTGCTCTGTGTCTTTTTTGAAGGACACCACTGTCAGGCTGTGGAATATAGAACACTCTGAAGAGATACCTTGCGTTATTGAGACCAGGAAGGCTCAGGGAATGGGCTATCGTATCCTCAAGGTTGGCATGTTGTTCATCATTATACGTAGAGTGAAACCTGATCCCAGATCAGTCTCTGAGACACTGTGAATAAAGGCAGATTATGTTTGGTGACACTGTTTTGGTGAACCTAATCCAGTCTTGTCTTTCAGTGTGAGGAGTGTGGAAAGGCTTTCTCCATTTGTCGACTGGAGAACTCCGACTTGGTCACAAAGTGTGTGTTCTGCCGGCTGAAGACAGCAACCAGATCCCATCTTCAGCCTCCTCCTCTGTTGTCTATGAATTGAATGTATTATTTTCTAGTCCTTGTACGTTACTGTAAATAACTAGGTCCTGTGTTTAGTGTGTACTGTATCGAGTTAAAGCTATACTTGTTCATTCATTTTGTCAGAAAATATCTAAAGTATCTATCTATTGTGAGTCTTTCTCCGTGGTACACACACACCTGGAGTCTAGGGAGGCTATAGTGAACCCACACAGCTGGAGGCTATAGTGAACCCACACAGCTGGAGGCTATAGTGAACCCACACAGCTGGAGTCTAGGGAGGCTATAGTGAACCCACACAGCTGGAGTCTAGGGAGGCTATAGTGAACCCACACAGCTGGAGTCTAGGGAGGCTATAGTGAACCCACACAGCTGGAGTCTAGGGAGGCTATAGTGAACCCACACAGCTGGAGTCTAGGGAGGCTATAGTGAACCCACACAGCTGGAGTCTAGGGAGGCTATAGTGAACCCACACAGCTGGAGGCTATAGTGAACCCACACACAGCTGGAGTCTAGGGAGGCTATAGTGAACCCACACAGCTGGAGTCTATAGTGAACCCACACAGCTGGAGTCTAGGGAGGCTATAGTGAACCCACACAGCTGGAGTCTAGGGAGGCTATAGTGAACCCACACAGCTGGAGTCTAGGGAGGCTATAGTGAACCCACACAGCTGGAGTCTAGGGAGGCTATAGTGAACCCACACAGCTGGAGTCTAGGGAGGCTATAGTGAACCCACACAGCTGGAGGCTATAGTGAACCCACACACAGCTGGAGTCTAGGGAGGCTATAGTGAACCCACACAGCTGGAGGCTATAGTGAACCCACACACAGCTGGAGTCTAGGGAGGCTATAGTGAACCCACACAGCTGGTGTCTAGGGAGGCTATAGTGAACCCACACAGCTGGAGGCTATAGTGAACCCACACACAGCTGGAGTCTAGGGAGGCTATAGTGAACCCACACACAGCTGGAGGCTAGGGAGGCTATAGTGAACCCACACAGCTGGAGTCTAGGGAGGCTATAGTGAACCCACACACAGCTGGAGTCTAGGGAGGCTATAGTGAACCCACACAGCTGGAGGCTATAGTGAACCCACACAGCTGGAGTCTAGGGAGGCTATAGTGAACCCACACAGCTGGAGTCTAGGGAGGCTATAGTGAACCCACACACAGCTGGAGTCTAGGGAGGCTATAGTGAACCCACACAGCTGGAGTCTAGGGAGGCTATAGTGAACCCACACACAGCTGGAGTCTAGGGAGGCTATAGTGAACCCACACAGCTGGAGTCTAGGGAGGCTATAGTGAACCCACACAGCTGGTGTCTAGGGAGGCTATAGTGAACCCACACATCTGGAGTCTAGGGAGGCTATAGTGAACCCACACACAGCTGGAGTCTAGGGAGGCTATAGTGAACCCACACAGCTGGAGTCTATAGTGAACCCACACACAGCTGGAGTCTAGGGAGGCTATAGTGAACCCACACAGCTGGAGGCTATAGTGAACCCACACACCTGGAGTCACCTGTCAAAAGGATGATCTGAATCAGTGTTCTGTCATGGTAGCAGAGCCATAGTAGTTGAGGAAAAATAATGTGTCAAAAAATGCAATATTTACAATTGACAACAAGTTCAATGCAGTCCTCAATGGAGGAGTCTGAACAGCAGCCACAGACCCAGGAGCTGGCAGAGCTGTATAAACTGGCCCAGCAGGTCCACTGGTAGAGACCTGCTTCAGATATAGAAGCTGGCCCAGCAGGTCCACTGGTAGAGACCTGCTTCAGATATAGAAACTGGCCCAGCGGGTCCACTGGTAGAGACCTGCTTCAGATATAGAAGCTGGCCCAGCGGGTCCACTGGTAGAGACCTGCTTCAGATATAGAAGCTGGCCCAGCGGGTCCACTGGTAGAGACCTGCTTCAGATATAGAAGCTGGCCCAGCGGGTCCACTGGTAGAGACCTGCTTCAGATATAGAAGCTGGCCCAGCGGGTCCACTGGTAGAGACCTGCTTCAGATATAGAAGCTGGCCCAGCGGGTCCACTGGTAGAGACCTGCTTCAGATATAGAAGCTGGCCCAGCGGGTCCACTGGTAGAGACCTGCTTCAGATATAGAAGCTGGCCCAGCGGGTCCACTGGTAGAGACCTGCTTCAGATATAGAAGCTGGCCCAGCGGGTCCACTGGTAGAGACCTGCTTCAGATATAGAAGCTGGCCCAGCAGGTCCACTGGTAGAGACCTGCTTCAGATATAGAAGCTGGCCCAGCAGGTCCACTGGTAGAGACCTGCTTCAGATATAGAAGCTGGCCCAGCAGGTCCACTGGTAGAGACCTGCTTCAGATATAGAAGCTGGCCCAGCAGGTCCACTGGTAGAGACCTGCTTCAGATATAGAAGCTGGCCCAGCAGGTCCACTGGTAGAGACCTGCTTCAAATATAGAAGCTGGCCCAGCAGGTCCACTGGTAGAGACCTGCTTCAGATATAGAAGCTGGCCCAGCAGGTCCACTGGTAGAGACCTGCTTCAGATATAGAAGCTGGCCCAGCAGGTCCACTGGTAGAGACCTGCTTCAGATATAGAAGCTGGCCCAGCAGGTCCACTGGTAGAGACCTGCTTCAAATATAGGGCGGAAATACAGAGACAACACTAGAGTATGGTATCTCATTTCACTCAATCTGAAAAGAGAATACATGTTGTTTTAGTCTGTAAACTTGATTAATTTTACCTCCTGGGGGTGAAACCCACAGACACATCTCTGAAGACCCCCGAGCAGAGTTGTCCACGTACATGCATTGGACAATTCTCTACCTGTAACAATCCATAATGAAGCCTGCGTTAGGAAGCCCCCTGCTGGTGACTCCACCATCTCACAGCACTCTCAAGCAGCTCACCCCACTACCCATCCCCCCCACACCTGAAACCAGGAGTCAAGGGATGATGAACTGTCTCTCTCTGGAACTTTCCTTAACCTGTTGTGATTGGTTGACAAGATCCCAGCTTGGGACTTTGACACTGTGTAATCGCTCTTTGTAACAATATGACATGACGATGTGATGTCCTTACAGTCTAATAAAAGTTGCTGTTCAGTAGTAAAGGCCTACATTTAATGACGGGTATTTCTAGTAATACAGTATGTTTTCTACATGAATATCATAGTCCTATGCATGGCCATTATCTCCTCATAATACCTATGCATGGCCATTATCTCGTCATAATACCTATGCATGGCCATTATCTCATCATAATACCTATGCATGGCCATTATCTCGTCATAATACCTATGCATGGCCATTATCTCCTCATAATACCTATGCATGGCCATTATCTCCTCATAATACCTATGCATGGCCATTATCTCGTCATAATACCTATGCATGGCCATTATCTCGTCATAATACCTATGCATGGCCATTATCTCCTCATAATACCTATGCATGGCCATTATCTCCTCATAATACCTATGCATGGCCATTATCTCGTCATAATACCTATGCATGGCCATTATCTCCTCATAATACCTATGCATGGCCATTATCTCCTCATAATACCTATGCATGGCCATTATCTCGTCATAATACATACCTTCAGAACGAATTCATACCACCTCTTCTGCCTTGGAGATGGCCTGTTGCCCGCATCGGCAGGCCAAACCCCTGCGGTGGCAAATGTCCCCAAAGCGGGACATCCACTCCCTTTTTGGGTATTTTTAGACATCTGAAACCAACAGGACGAATGTATCACACTACCACAAGAACAAACAATTAGCTATACATAGCAAACTTCATGTAAACTAGGCTAATAGAGTCCGAATGAATGGTGTTATTGGGACATTTGGCAGTAGGCTAATCAAGCATCATGACAAATTAGTCAACTTAGCCTATATCAGCTAGGCTATATCAGCTAGGCTATATCAGCTAGGCTATATCAGCTAGGCTATATCAGCTAGGCTATATCAGCTAGGCTATATCAGCTAGGCTATATCAGCTAGGCTATATCAGCTAGGCTATATCAGCTAGGCTATATCAGCTAGGCTATATCAGCTAGGCTATATCATGGACTGACTGATTTTAATGAATAAACGAATACATATATAGGTAACATAGCTATTACGGTGGGGGAAAAAAGTATTTAGTCAGCCACCAGTTGTGCAAGTTCTCCCACTTAAAAAGATGAGAGAGGCCTGTAATTTTCATCATAGGTACACGTCAACTATGACAGACAAAATGAGAAAAAAAATCCAGAAAATCACATTGATTATTTGCACATTATGGTGGAAAATAAGTATTTGTCACCTACAAACAAGCAAGATTTCTGGCTCTCACAGACCTGTAACTTCTTCTTTAAGAGGCTCCTCTGTCCTCCACTCGTTACCTGTATTAATGGCACCTGTTTGAACTTGTTATCAGTATAAAAGACACCTGTCCACAACCTCAAACAGTCACACTCCAAACTCCACTATGGCCAAGACCAAAGAGCTGTCAAAGGACACCAGAAACAAAATTGTAGACCTGCACCAGGCTGGGAAGACTGAATCTGCAATAGGTAAGCAGCTTGGTTTGAAGAAATCAACTGTGGGAGCAATTATTAGGAAATGGAAGACATACAAGACCACTGATAATCTCCCTCGATCTGGGGCTCCATGCAAGATCTCACCCCGTGGGGTCAAAATGATCACAAGAACGGTGAGCAAAAATCCCAGAACCACACGGGAGGACCTAGTGAATGACCTGCAGAGAGCTGGGACCAAAGTAACAAAGCCTACCATCAGTAACACACTACGCCGCCAGGGACTCAAATCCTGCAGTGCCAGACGTGTCCCCCTGCTTAAGCCAGTACATGTCCAGGCCTGTCTGAAGTTTGCTAGAGTGCATTTGGATGATCCAGAAGAGGATTTGGAGAATGTCATATGGTCAGATGAAACCAAAGTATAACTTTTTGGTAAAAACTCAACTCGTCGTGTTTGGAGGACAAAGAATGCTGAGTTGCATCCAAAGAACACCATACCTACTGTGAAGCATGGGGGTGGAAACATCATGCTTTGGGGCTGTTTTTCTGCTAAGGGACCAGGACGACTGATCCGTGTAAAGTAAAGAATGAATGGGGCCATGTATCGTGAGATTTTGAGTGAAAACCTCCTTCCATCAGCAAGGGCATTGAAGATGAAACGTGGCTGGGTCTTTCAGCATGACAATGATCCCAAACACACCGCCCGGGCAACGAAGGAGTGGCTTCGTAAGAAGCATTTCAAGGTCCTGGAGTGGCCTAGCCAGTCTCCAGATCTCAACCCCATAGAAAATCTTTGGAGGGAGTTGAAAGTCTGTGTTGCCCAGCGACAGCCCCAAAACATCACTGCTCTAGAGGAGATCTGCATGGAGGAATGGGCCAAAATACCAGCAACAGTGTGTGAAAACCTTGTGAAGACTTACAGAAAACGTTTGACCTGTGTCATTGCCAACAAAGGGTATATAACAAAGTATTGAGAAACTTTTGTTATTGACCAAATACTTATTTTCCACCATAATTTGCAAATCAATTCATTAAAAATCCTACAATGTGATTTTCTGGAGAAAAAAAATTCTCATTTTGTCTGTCATAGTTGACGTGTACCTATGATGAAAATTACAGGCCTCTCTCATCTTTTTAAGTGGGAGAACTTGCATAATTGGTGGCTGACTAAATACTTTTTTTCCCCACTGTACATTTACAATTTAGTCATTTAGCAGACGCTCTTATCCAGAGCGACTTACAGTTAGTGCATACATTTTCATACTGGCCCCCCGTGGGGCTATGGCAAGACATGTTTATGACAAAGTTCGTCCCCTGGATATCAAAGCATTAGCTAATTTAGCTGGCATAATAATATAGCTACCAAGCTAGCTAGTCAAAAGAAAATCAGGTGACACTACGACAGCTCCCCCCACTGAAAGTGAATGCTACTGTTAGGTTACCGAATGGTATGAGGTGACCGTCCTGTAAACTGGTTACATACAGGAGCAGGCTAGATAGCAAACCAACTTAGGGTAGCTGAATAGCATTTACTAAAACGTAACCTTGGTAACGTTCGCAGATTGTATAATATTTTAGATTTTCGGTGGTAATTAAATATAATTTATTTATAATTGATCAGAATGAATCCCCCCAGAAATGGTTTTACCAGCTCCGTGTATTGTTGAGTGAAATTGAAAAGAGTGAGGGATCTGGGCAGCACGACACCCCAGATCATTGTGGATTTATTCCTCGTCTTATGATTTTTCTATTATTTCTCTTCATTGTTGGGAAGGCCGTAAGGAAGCGTTTTACTGTTACTCACCTGTTGTTTACGAAGCATGTGACAAATACATTTTGATTTGATTTGTGTTGATAATCACAAGTTTACTGGAGAACGGAGACCAAGTAGAGACTTTTGGACAAGGTGGATAATTGTATAATATAAGGCAGTTTATTCAGAGGTAAAGATATCTGAAAATAGCGTGCACGGACCCGTTCGTCAACCTCGTAGGGAGATATCTGAGAGCGAGCCCCTAAACATTGTGTGCTGACATTTTATACAATAAAATAAAGTAGGTTGATTCTAGTAGTTCTGATCTTCTGATTGGTCCTGATGAGTTGGTCGAGGTCACTTCCATTGCATTGGCTCTGAGTCGGGTTCTCTGTCTTCAGATGTTCAGCCTAAGAGAAGGGGGTTTTTGTGTGTGTGTGCTTAACAATGATGATGTGTGTGTGTGT